AAGGAGTGCAGACCTTTGGCTAAAGGATTTCCCACATTCACTGCACTCATATGGCCTTTCCCCGGTGTGAACTCTCCGATGTTTAATGAGGTTGGACTTGTTGCTAAATAATTTTCCACATTCACCACATTCGTGAGGCCGTACTGCAGTGTGAACTCTCCGGTGCTGAACGAGACTAGAGCTTTGCCTAAAGGACTTTCCACACTCTTGACATTCATAAGGCTTTTCTCCAGTGTGAACTCTCCAGTGGTCATTGAGGCTGTAGCTTTTGCTAAAGGATTTCCCACATTCACTGCACATGTAACACTTTTCTGTAGTGAGGGTTCTCTGCTGCTGAACAAGTGAGTGTTTACGGTTGAATGCTTTTACGTATTCTCCACAACTGTAATGAGTTTTTCCTCTGTGACTGACAGCCCCACCGCTTCTGCTATTTGGTTGCTCCCCAGTGTGAGTGTCCTGTTGATGGAGAAATCCCAACTTGGCCAGGAAGTCCTTCCCAACTTCTTTGCATGTGGAAGTCTCCCCTGACACATGGAATATGCAGGTCTTCACAAACAAGGCTCTGTCCACATTGCTTCTGAAATGTTTTTCTCCAAGGTGCTGTTTCTGGTAATGAACATCTGCAATGAAATGAAATACAATTACTTCTTACATGGCACACCCCTGTATAATTTCTGCCTATGATGGGTGCTCTAGGGCCCAGCCAAAAGCAAAATGTCTCTCAAGACCAGGCTACATATCTCACAGGGGTGGGCCTTCTGGGGAGAAAGACCTGCCTTGGAAGTCCTGAGTTGGGTCACTCCTTTTAAAGAAATGCTCTGCTCAGAAGGTGCCTCCTCATCCACCACTCTATGCCAACAACCTAAAAGCAAGAAGTGCTAGTGAAGTGCACATTAACTATGGTGGGAGGGGGCAGCCCCTATACAAATGTGTGTATGACAAACCCAGGAACAAGTCTATGGGAATGTTTGCATGGCAGTAGAGTTGGGTTCACATTCCAGATGAGCCTGCTTAGCAATACTAGGCTATAAAGATTACAAGAATGTGGGAGAGCTCAAGAGGTAAAGGCCACAACCATGAGGTATGACAGAGAGGAGAAGCAGGGTCTAATACTGAATCCTCTGCAAACAACTTTAGCAGAAGCTTATCTGCTGGTAACACATGAGTGCTGTGTAGAATAGCATATGGAAGCCCAAGGAAATATGACTGCAATGCAGCAGCTGGCCTTCAAGGACTGTTTAAGAGTATGTGCAAGCCGGGCGCGGTGGCTCAAGCCTGTAATCCCAGCACTTTGGGAGGCCGAGGCGGGTGGATCACGAGGTCAAGAGATCGAGACCATCCTGGTCAACATGGTGAAACCCCGTCTCTACTAAAAATACAAAAAATGAGCTGGGCATGGTGGTGCGTGCCTGTAATCCCAGCTACTCAGGAAGCTGAGGCAGGAGAATTGCCTGAAGCCAGGAGGCGGAGGTTGCGGTGAGCCAAGATCGTGCCATTGCACTCCAGCCTGGGTAACATGAGTGAAACTCCGTCTCAAAAAAAAAAAAAAAAAGAGTATGTGCAAGACCTGGCGCAGTGGCTCACACGTGTAATCCCAGCACTTTGGGAGGCCGAAGCAGGTGGATCACGAGGTCAGGAGTTCAAGACCAGCCTGGCCAAGATGGTAAAACGCCGTCTCTACTAAAAATACAAAAATTAGACAGGCACAGTGGCAGGCACCTGTAATCTAAGCTACTCGGGAGGCTGAGACAGGAGAATCGCTTGAATCTGGGCGGCAGAGGTTGCAGTGAGCTGACATCGCGCCACTGCACTCCAGCTTGGGCAACAGAGTGAGACTCCGTCTCAAAAAAAAAAAAAAAAAAGTATGTGCATACCTCATGACACACTATGTAGAGGCCAACATTGGAAATAAATGCAGATGTAGCAGTGAGAAAAAGAGATAAGATATGGAGTCCAGAGATGTGAGGATTAGCCCCAGGCTGGATGTTAAGAGCAGAAGTGACAAGTAGTAGAGCTGTCATGTCAGCAAAATGTCAAGAATGGTGAAGGAAAACTGGAAATATGCTGTGACCACTGGATTGGCACCAAAATGCTCGCCAAACAGACTAGGTCGCTCCTATAATATAGCATCTGGATAATGCAAGTACTAAGGGAAGAAAGAACAGAAAACCACCCTACACTGTCCCACAAAAAACTCAGCACATGACAGCCTGTAGGAAACACACACACAATCACACACGCGCACACACACCCAAACACAAATATTACAAAGAAAATTTCAGAGGAAGGCTGGGCGTGGTAACTCACGTCTGTAATCCAAGCACTTTGGAGGCCAAGGCAGGTGGATCACCTGAGGTCAGGAGTTCAAGACCAGCCTGACCAATATGGTGAAACTCCGTCCTTAAAAAAAAAAAAAAAAAAGAAAATTTCAGAGGAATAGCTTGTAAGAAGAGTCCATGGTTTACAAAAGTAGTGACTATGTCAGTGATAATAACCCCTGGCATAGGCAGGCATAATGAAATGCCAGCTACGGGATAGAAGTAGTAGTAGGTCAGGCACACAGGATCCTGAAATCTGGAAAAAGTCACCCAGTCATGGAGGCTATAATAAAGGTGAGATGCACTAGGGTGACTGTAAAACTCCAGACTCTGAATCCTTCCCTGTGAGGCTGTGAGGAAACAGGTACCAGGGCACCTCAGGGAGAGTAGAGGACAGTATGCAAACCTTAGTCATACCCATCACAGAATTATGCAGGGAAATGAGAAAGAAGCAGAGCCTATACTCATCATGAGAAGGACAGACCTGCCTATAGGGAAAAGAGGAAGGGCATAGACTAGCTCAGGGCACAGGAATGGGTAAAAGAACCTTACCCAGGGAGGTTAAAAGAGCCAAGTTCTCCAGCATCACATCACGGTACAGGCATCTTTGAGCCTCATCAAGGAGACCCCATTCCTCCCAGGAGAAGTGAACAGCCACATCTTCAAAGGTCACAGTGCCCTGCCACAATGGGAACAGATGAAACCACCAAGAGCCCTTCTCCCAAGCACCCACAGTCTGCACCCCCACATCCTTACCCCATGCCCATTCTCTTCCCAAGCTTCCCAACTGAGAGGAGAAACCAGCCCCAATCACATGTGGATAAATAGGTATCTAAGCTGGGGGGCCTGGCATGGAAGGATCTGTGCTATCCCATCATGAAATCCCCCTGGAATGTTCAAGGTCATATAAGTCTCAATACCAGGGCCCTGCTGCTGTCATTTACTCCCTTTCCAGATGCACATCATTCTTCAGAATACACATCCCTTCTATCTTCAGATGCCATAGCCCAAGCCCAGGGCTGCCACGTCACTGCCCACACCATAGACATCTCCCTGCTCTTAACCCCCATGTCATTGTTTTAATCTCTTCCTCTTCACTCCATTAGTGAAGGCAGGATTGCTACACTAGGGTTATGGATATGGCCAAACACACAATACCTGACACTAGGAAGATGATTAATCATATATAATAAAACCTGGGAGATGAGAACAACATGTACCACATAGTGTCACAGGGGATATAGTCCACAAAAAAAGTGAATAACCAATAGCTGTGGAATACAAGCATTTTGCCAACAAAAGGATTAGGTGCCCCCTGGTTCCCACAATTGGCTTGTTTGGAAAAGTCCATGGCCTGGTAGGGAGCTGAAATCTGCTACAAAGGGAGAAGCAGAAATTATGCCTGGTCCCCCTGATAAAAAGGGTTGTCTGATTGGGAGAAGAGTAGGGAAGGAAACTTGTAATCAGGCCATTTGATGTCACCCTGATTTCACCAGATGTCATATTGGGCCTTAATTTTAGACTTTACACTGTAACTTAGCATGCAGCATCCAGAGTATGCTTGACAAATTCAGACAGAATCTAATACTACCCTACATCTCCCAGGGCATCCACTAGTGGTAGCAGCCCCAAATCCTATGAAGGCTTCCTGGTTGGCTCCATTCTTTGCCCCAGACTTAGGCCACACAGAACCACATGTGCATCTCAGACACCCATGGCCTTATTTCACTTCTGTGCTGCACTTACTATCCCCTCAGCAGTGACAGCCTTCCTCTGTCCACCTAACACTCAAAGACTAGCCCCATTGATCACCTACCCCAGGCCAAGTGAACATCACAGATGACCATATTTGCTCCTGGACTTACTCTCCAAGGGGAATAAACACCCCAGGCCCCATCAAAGTCATCAAAAAATGCTAGTGATTCCACAAAGTGCTGAATAAGCACTAAGGGAAAAAGGGACAGCCATTTGCCTCAAATAGACTTATGCCTCTGCATCCACCTCACATCCACTCTTTCCTTCAAAGCGTATGCCACCTGCCCAGCTATCCTCTCCAAACACCCTACCCTACCTCCATAGCCACTAACCACCCTTACCTGTGTTTATAAAGCCCAAGAACATCACCCAGTTATCCAACCAAAAGGCTTGGTCCTTAGCCCCTGACTCTGCCTTTCCAGGCCAAATAATCTGTACCACCATGCCTAAAGGTTAACCCTTATAGGCTGGGCACGGTGGCTCATGCCTGTGATCCCAGCACTTGGGACATCTCCATTCTGAAGCACTCCCCAGATTTCAGGACCTGTGTGTTCAACAGCCACCCACTTAATGTCTCTGAAACATTGCAAAGTCTTACATGACCAAATCAAAGCTCCTGATGTCTCCCGTGAATATTACTGTTAATACTAACTTCACCATCTCAGTTGAAGAATCAGGGGGTCATCGCTGAATCCTGTTTCACTCCCTCGCTATCTACATCAGAAAATGTAGTTGCCCCCTTTAAAAACTTGCATCCAGAATGCAACACATCTCCTAATTAACGACTGCGGTCCATTAATCCCCACCTGGATTGGCTGTAGCTTCCACGCTGATCTTTTCCTCCTCCCTCAACCCCACAGTCTGCTCTCCATGCTAACAGGGTGGGGCCTGTTAGGACTTTGGTAAGATCACCACCTTTTTCTAACCCAAACCTCCCATTACCTCCAGAATAGGTACCCAACTTCTCAGGCAGCCACTGCAGTCCAAACTCCTTCCCCCTGCTCTTTGTTCCCAGCTAAAAGGAAAGAGATCTATGGTTTCCTCAAAAATCTCAGTTTAGTTTTACTAAGCACTTGCCCCTCCTGATACCAGCGCCAGAAGTAACCTTTGAAACGTTTCAACTGGCCGCTAAAAATGGGATAACCCCTGGCATGGACTTAGAACCTTGGGTTTAGAATTTCTGCAGGGCACCAGACCCAGGATTGGGGTAACAGCAGTTAAGCATACTGGGAAACCACAATCCCAAGAACATGTGGGCGGGGGGTGGGGGTGGGGCCTGCTGAGGGACTGGAACACTCCCCACTTCCCTATGTGAGTTCCATATGCCCTTCTATAACCAGGAGAACCAGGGAAAGAGGAATGCATCCCTGATGAGGCTCAATGGGCCCAGCCTCCCTGTATCCCGCCCTGGCCCTGAACTCAGCATGGCTGTTTCACTTCAGTGCCTCAGGGCTCACTGTCACCTCTCGCCAACTGTAGGGCAATGAACAAAAGATGCAGCCTCCCACTACCTTAGTGTCGTCATCGCCCTATCGCTGCTCGTCCTGTTAACAGTCTTGGGAAAAAATTTTAAGCCCTAACGAAGGGCGGGCGCGGTGGCTCACGCCCGTAATCCCAGCACTTTGGGAGGCTGAGGCGGGCGGATCACTTGAGGTCAGGAGTTTGAGACCCAACTGGTCCCCAAATGATGAAACCCATGGACTTATTTGCCCCTGGACTTATTCATTTGGGGACTTAAAAATACAAAAAATTAGCCGGGAGTTGTGGCGCATGCTTGTCATCCCAGCTACTGGGGAGGCTGAGGCAGGAGAATCGCTTGAATCCAGGAGGCAGAGGTTGCAGTGACCCGGGAGCGCGCCATTGTACTCCAGCCTGGGCAACGAGAAAAACTCCGTCTCAAAGAAAAAAAACTAACGTAAATGGCATCCCTCCTTTCTTCAAAACTCTCCGTGGCTTCCAGCGTCCTCACAATGAAGGTACAACCCTACGAGTAAGTCCCCTCATATTTTTGTTCCCTGAGAAAAGAGCTTTCCGAATTCTCCTGGCTCAGCCGCGCCAGTCCCACCTCGTCACACGCGGGGTCAGAAACGGGCCTACCCGCGAGCGCCTCAGCGTCCCCGCCCCTGGGCTGCAGGCGCCCTTCGCTGGTGGCCTTAGAACGCGGGTGGGGGAAGACGCAGCACTCACCCGAGCCGGCGCCCTCAGACTGGCCGCTGCCATCAGACTGCGGGTGGAGATGGGCCGGGAGCGGCGGCGACCAGGGGAGGGGCCGGAGCACGGCGCTCCTGTCCCAGGCCTGGCGTGGGTCACCTAGGGTGGCGCCCCCAAGGCTTAGATGCTTCCGTGCAGAAGGAACGACGACTCCCCGCAGGCCTTCGTAGCCCCGACTAGGCGCTCTGCGATCTCAGATCGGTCAACACACCCCAGAGAAGCCAAAATGGCCGCCACGATGCTGACTCCAAAAGTCCCATCCTTTTTTTTTTTTTTTTTTTTGGTGACTCTCGTGGAAAGCCTGTCTTCTGAGCTCTCACTGGCTTAGCAGTGCCGCCGTTCAATGCAGAGCATTCTGGATAATGTAGTTTTCATGCATCCTGAGGTCGGGACTGGGGATGCATTGCACCAACCTCTTGGCTAAAAGGCGAAGCTCCAGGGTGCTGGGTGATGAGAAATGGCTTATGCAGGTCCTAGGGCAGAGGAGGGGCTTCGTCCTTTCTTGAATGGGTCGTAATCACACAGCATATCGGCGGCGCCATCTGCAACTGATCAGCCAAGTGTTTGGGAAATACTATTTCATACTTCATAAAGTTCAGCAGGCTCCCAGAGGCTAAAATTATTATCAGATGCTCCCTAAGGCTGCCAATCCAAATGTATACATCATTCCATAGAGCCATTCAGACATGAAATTTATCCACTAGTAGGGATGTTATCTTTATTACATTATTTCTTATTCTTCTTTCTTCTTTCTTCCTTCTTTCCTCTTTTTGACAGTCTCCCTCTGTCGCCCAGGGTGGAGTGCAGGGGTACCATCTAGGCTCACTGCAACCTCCGCCTCCCGGGTTCAAGTGATTCTCGTGCTTCAGGCTGCCAAGTAGCTGGGACTACAGGCGGGCACCACCACGCCCAGCTAATTTTTTCTATTTTTTGTAGAGATGGGGTTTCACTATGGTGATCCCGAACTCCTGGCCTCAGGTGATACACCCGCCTCGGTTTCTGAAAGTGCTTTACAGGTGTGAGCCACTGCACCCAGCCTCTACCATATTACATTTCAAATGTATGTACTTGGAAGCATTGAAGTCAGTCTCTCAGTCTGTGCACTTTTGGTCAGGGACAGGAGAAAAACTACTTAAGATAATGACATGACATTGCCTCTAGAAGACAGAAGATAGGTCACCTTGAAACAGTAATACAAAGGTAGAATGCTGTCTGTGATTCCAACAGAAAACATCTTTTGTCTGCATAGTCAATTATTGTGTCCAGTCAATAATTGGGTCCAGTCAATAAATGGGTCCAATTCATTAAGCAACACTTTTATCCATTTCATAATTCTTACTTGATATCTTAGATATACTCAATTCCTTTTAGAAGTCTAATATCAATCTCAAAAACAATGAAAGATATGCTATTTTGGTAAGAGACAAAGGGGAAAGGTGGGGCTTTTTTTTTTATAACGGAGTTTCGCTCCTGTTGCCCATGCTGGAGTGCAATAGTGCCGCCTCAGCTCACTGCAACCTTCATCTCCCGGGTTCAAGTGATTTTCCTGCCTGAGCTTCCTGAGTAGCTGGAATTACAGGCATGCACCACCACACGAAGCTAATTTTGTATTTTTAGTAGAGACAGGGTTTATCCATTTTGGTCAGGCTGTCTCGAGCTCTGGTGCTCAGGCTATCCACCCACCTCAGCCTCCCAATTAGCTGGGACTACAGGAGCACACCACCACACCTGGCTAATTTAAAAGAAAATTTTTTTTTTAGGCCGGGCGCGGTGGCTCAAGCCTGTAATCCCAGCACTTTGGGAGGCCGAGGCGGGTGGATCACAAGGTCAAGAGATCGAGACCATCCTGGTCAACATGGTGAAACCCTGTCTCTACTAAAACTACAAAAAATTAGCTGGGCATGGTGGCGTGTGCCTGTAATCCCAGCTACTCAGGAGGCTGAGGCAGGAGAATTGCCTGAACCCAGGAGACGGAGGTTGCGGTGAGCCGAGATCGCGCCATTGCACTCCAGCCTGGGTAACAAGAGCGAAACTCCATGTCAAAAAAAAAAAAAAAAAAAAAAAGAATTTTTTTTTTGTAAAGACAGGATCTTGCTATTTTGCCCAGGCTGGTCTCAAACTATCCTCCCACTTTGGCCTCCTAAAATGCTGGGATTATAGGTGTTAGCCACAGTGCCTGGCATTATTCTTTAAAATCCAGCAATGTGCCCACATTAGAAAGCAATAAGTTCCACCCCTGAGGACACAAACACCAGTTCACCATGCTCCAGTGAGGCTTTCCCTGCCTACTCCCTTGTCCTTACATCATACTGTTTAACTCTGGTGCAGCCACATGGACCTCAAAATGGGTGGAGCAGAGGTGGAAATCTGGAAGCAGGCCTTAGATGACAAAAGCAAACTTTCATATATAAAAGATATTATAATGTTTAAAATTTATGAGAAATTAATAGCTAAACTTGAGCTGAATATGGTGACTGAAAATTGCATATGGTTATTTTATTGACAGATGGTTACCAGAAAAGTCCTTTTTCCCCATTAATTTTTTCCAAGATGGTAGGGATGTGAGAAAGGGGAGCTTATTTCTGGAACCGGTTTGAAAGGTCAGTTTGGAGAAAAAGAATTCTGGGCAAAGCTGAAATAGCAATGCATATGCTAGTCGATTTTTGGGGATACATGTGTGAGTTGGTTTTCACTAGGCAACTGGGGTTCAATCCAAGACTAGAGGGTGCCATGTAGAAATGGCCTAAAGGATGGAAGGGGAGAATTCTGCAGCATAAATTATGATGCGTCTCTGATTCTGTCGCCTCTGCCTTAGAGAACTCTCCGGCTGCTGCAGATAAGGTAGCACTATGCGGAGAAGCCTGTCCATTCACCCTCTTTCCTCGACCATCTCTGGACGTTTTGCTATTGTGAGCATTCTCGCATATGCTTCTCGGTCCACAGGAAGGAGAATTTTTGTTTGCAAACATCTGTATAAGGCAGGGGAAACTTTTTCAACGTGGTTTTTCAATGTATTATAGTGCCATCAGAAGGTAAAAATGTCCATGTCTTCTCCAACACTAGCTATGGCTACCGCTTTTTCTTTTCAGACAGGGTCTGGCTCTCTTGCCGTGGCTGGAGAGCAGTGGTACCATCAGAGCTCACTTCAGCCTCAACTTCCTGGCCTCAAGGGATCCTCCTATCTTAGCCTCCTTAATAGCTGGAACTACAGGTGAGTACCACTACTAATTTTTGTATTTTTTGTAGAGACGGGGTCTTGCTATGTTGTCCAGGGTGGTCTCCAACTTCTAGGCACAAGCGATACACCTGCCAACCCCCCAACCTCAGCTTCCTGAGTAGCTGGGACTACAAGAGTCAACCATCCCTCCGGGCCTTAATGCTTTGATTTTAATATCCAGATCCTTAGTACAGTTTATTGGAGTCAGCTGGTAAGATAAGGTGTGGGGTAAAACAAAGTTCTTTCTCTCCTCACCCTCTGCATAGACAATATGTTTGTATTGTGCAGGCTTAATGTATACCTGACTGTTCTCTCTGACACAGCAGCTGCCAGTCTGACTTTACTGGGTGTTTTACGGATCCTGCAATTACAAATAAACAATAAGCCTCTGGCCTCCACCCAAAGCCGCACATGAATGATTATATCCCTACTTCTTCAGTGATTACAGTCGGACTTCACTGATACCCAAGGCCTCCCATTGCAGGCTCTTGGGTTAAAGTCCCTGGATGAAAATGTTGGAACAAAGGCTTCTGGGATTTGTAGTCCATTACGCAGCGCGCATTGCTCTCTGGTTGCTGAAGTAGGTGGGGAGTTCTGCGCAGCTGCATATGCGATCGCCTGATAAGCTGGATCGTGGCGACAAGGTGGGTGAATGTGACCCCCGACGGGCAGAGGAGGGAAGCGGGGCTGTAAACTGAGGCGGCAGGTCCGAGTGGAACGCGGTGACCCAGAGCCGCGGTCTCCCGAAACGTCCCTCCGGAGCCAGGCGTTCCAGCGGCCTCTAGCAGTTGCCGTCGTCGTCATCCAGCCGCGTTGCCTTCTGGGATCTAGTGTCGGCCGGCACTGCGCAGACTCCTGGACTCCCACACGGCGCTTTCTTCGAGCTCATCTGCTGTGGGGCTTCGGAATTCATTCCCGTAATATTGTGTATTTGGAGTTTTCTCTCTTAAGCTAGAGAAGACAAGGCAGGCCTCCGTACGGGGGGGAAGCAAAAAGATCTTTGTACTTAACATTGCAATTGCCATTCTTTATTCCAGATGAAGCTGGCTTACCCTTTGCAGTAGACAGTCCGTGTTTCTCTTTAGGAGATTTATTTATATTTCAGGAGTGAACCATTAAACTTTTCGGTATTGATAACATTCAGGTGTGCCATGTCCCTTTCTTTTTTTTTTTTTTTTTTTTGAGACGGAGTTTCGCTCTTGTTACCCAGGCTGGAGTGCAATGGCGCGATCTCGGCTCACCGCAACCTCCGCCTCCTGGGTTCAGGCAATTCTCCTGCCTCAGCCTCCCGAGTAGCTGGGATTACAGGCACGCGCCACCATGCCCAGCTGATTTTTTGCATTTTTAGTAGAGACGGGGTTTCACCATGTTGACCAGGATGGTCTCGATCTCTTGACCTCGTGATCCACCCGCCTCGGCCTACCAAAGTGCTGGGATTACAGGCGTGAGCCACCGCGCCCGGCCAGTGGCACAATCTCAACTCAGTGCAGCCTCAACTTCCTAGGTTCCAGTGATCCTCCTGCTTCAGCCCCCCATGAAGTTGGGACTGTAGTCAGGTACCACCACGCCCGACTAATCTTTCTATTTTTAGTAGAGATGGGATTTTGCCATGTTGCCCCGGCTGGTCTCAAACTCCTGAGATCAAGTGATCCACCCTCCTTGGCCTCCCAAAGTGCTAGGATTACAGGCATGAGCCACCTCGTTCAGCCCTAAATTTCCTGTTGTGCTAGTCTTGTTCTGTGTTGAAAACAGACTTAACGATGGCCAGCACTGAATAGAAGGAGCAGAGGAATGTCTGACATTATACACTGGATGCAAGTTTTGGGAACAGGGATCTCACCCCTGCCATTCTCTGTTGTTCTGAATTTTCTTAGATTCTCTGTCTGTCACTCATTAATTACACGGCAAAACTAATGGCCAAAGTTATTTATATCCTCCCCTTTGATTCAGCTTTCAAGGGTGTGATTACAAACCCTCAAACCAATCTCGAGCTTGTATCTTCAGCCACCCTCTAATTCACACACCAGGCCAATATAATCCTCAACC